GAAAAACTGTTATACCCAACCATTTTTTCTGGAGAATATCATTCAACAACAAACAGAAGTGATTTCCCAAAGTGGCCGGACTTACAGTGTGCACCCTGTTGAAGAACCGTGGTTTGCGCGGTCGGTACTTGTCAGACCACAGGTAGGGTTTGCTCTGGACGTCCACCTCCACGGCAAACGTTGCCTCGTCGGAATCCATGCCTGCTCGAGCTTTCTTGATGAACTCCAACTCAACAGTGTTCTGACGAGCAAAAAGAAGCAAGACGGGTGTTTATATTCAACACTTTTTTTGCTTTTTGCCTGATTCTTTGGATTGTGTTTATGTGAAATCAGGTCGTATATTTAAATTTGTGAATACTTTTGATTTCTTTAAGAAAATGTCTACAATGAAATGCAAATTTAAATATGTGCCTAATTTCAGAATTTACTGTTTTTAAAGTGCTGTCGATGTTGCGCTTTTTCTTTCTGGGAAATGAATGATAACCATACAATCAGTGAGGCAGACAGGATGTATTTAACAAATCACAAGGCCAGCAGTGACCGTCGGCTGAGAGTCGCACCCACCTCCGCACTTCCTGTAGTGATGAGTTGCTGACGGATACGCAGCAGTTTGGCCCGGTCCTCGTCAGGGTCAAAGATTAAGGTCTCCGGAGGCAGGGCCTTGGGGTCGACCAGCTTTGGGCTGTAGCCACCCTTTTCGAACTCGGTGATGCACTCCTCCTCCAGGTCTGCTTGAGTGAGGACTGATTCGGGCCTGCGAGAACAACGAAGTCTGAAGTCATGAAACAGTAAAAAAGCACAGTGTATTATTTTCAACATCAGAACTAAGACCAAGGACGACTCCAGATCCAACTTTTTGGGGAAGGCAAACTTTTTATGGGGGGGGGAAATGTGGCACTATTTATCATTTTACGACCTTTTACGACCTTTCTAAGGGGATGAGGCTGTAGTTTGGACTTTTTCCATGCTTTCTGAAGACAAATGAAATAAACCACAAAAAATAACGTTTCTCTCATCATTTCTCAAAAACGAAATATTTTTGAGAAATAATGTGTTCCCCTCCCCTGATCAGCCCTCAGAACATAGATCTGAATAACCTTGAAAATTCAAGTTTGCAATAATTTAAGCATGGAACATGTACATGTATGATGTGCTGTTGGTATCTCAAAGTGCTGGGATTATGAAGGGTTATGAAGGGTTTCCCAGGAAACTGCAGTGAGGGATCATGTTTCCCTGGTATTCTTACTCAGAACTCGGAAACTTCCCTGAATCCTCCAAGATCCACAGCTCTGTAGGAAACCACTAGATTCATATCTGCACTTGAATATCAAGGGAAACTATGTCCCATGTAAAGAAAATGGAGGATTAACTCTACCCTCCTCAACCCCGCAAAATCCTACAAACCTCCTCACAGATTCTTATGAATCTTTGGAGGGGTCGAATTCAATTTTGTAGTTCAAAAGCGCCTGCATTTGAGACAGGGCCTCACACAGGGTTGTCAGACTTACTCTTCGGCGGACTTGCTCGGTGCTCCTCCCTCTGCCTGGGTGGGGCCGGCCTCCTCTGATGACTCCGGCTCCTTCTTGATGCGCCTCCTGATCTCGTGGTCCTCGCCGTCCGAGTCGGAGGGCAACGGGATCTCGCTGGGGTCAAAGCCTGCCGTGGCCTGAGGGGAGGCACCTCTTGGATCAGACACTACACCTTGCTGTTTTGGCAATGATTGAAACATGAACGGAGATACATCAGGAGACTTTCATCTCGATTAAGGTCTACCTGTGAACTCGTTTGCTTCACGGTGCGAGAAAATCCCACAATGTTCACTGCATCTAATGTGCAAAAGTACTAAAAAGACGAGCGTGTTGATCAATTGAATCTATTCACTAATTCAAGATCACTTCAACTAAAAATGCTCTTTCAATAACAAAACAGTTTAACCCTAACCCCCAAGGGTTGCTGGCCCTAACCTTCCCTATTCACACAAGGTTAAACACCCATATGGGACTTTGCGCACAAAGGGTTGTTGGGCTTTGTTTTTCTGAGGTATGCCAACCCCAATGCAAAAACCAGCTGTTACGGGCCTACCAGACCTATCCCCACAGAATTAAACACTTTACTACTGTTTAATTCTGTGTGGTCGGGGAAAGTTTGGGTTAAAGTCATACTTGAAGGGTGGAATCAACGCCTAATGGGAACTCTGCTTACTTCGAGCGCATGCATGTGTCTTTGTTCATGCTAAAGTCTCATTCGTAAATACCTCAGACTGTTAAATCATTCCCATTGGTTGAGAGCCAATTAAAGTGGCCTGTCTTCATAAACTGTTGATATGGCACCATCTCACATGCATGCAAATCCCCATAAGGAGAAAGTTTACGACTTCTCAAGTGAGAAAAATATTACAACCTGGTTGGGGGTGTGTATGACAAATGAATTAAAACTGTTCACCCAAAATTGTTGGAAATTTAGCTTCTAACTTTCTTTGATTTTGTGACTCAAAAAAGTTATTTATAAATGGGCAAAAAATGTGTTTGACCAGTCTTGAAAAATGTGTCTGACCAGTCTGGAACAATCATTCTTATGAGATTGTCTCCGGAGTATGGACTCTGATAACGTCCTCCTTTGACTAGGGCATTACCAAGAATAACCAAGCACAAATTTATTCCCGTCATAATGAAGTCCGTCACTGCAACGCTGAGATCGGAGTGGGACTGAATCTCGGCTATATAACTCACGCGACAAACTGTGACACCTGAAGATACTTCAAGGCATGGGCCTTGCACAAGATCTTTAAAGCAGCGCACCGCTTTATGTCTTACCTGCTGCCGGAGCGAATTCAGTTTTCGTTTGAGTCTCTCCTGGTGTTGCTCCTTTAACCGTGCTCTGGCCATGTGGGCGTTCAGCTGTTGCAGCAGCGATTCCCAATAACCTGGGGATGGACAGCATCAAGGAAATCACTCTAACGTGGCAGTTTCAACCGAGCCGGGGCTACCCTGACTACAGACTGGAGGATTAGAGACAATTTTGAGATCTGGGATTTCTGAAACCTCGAAAGGATTTTGATATTATTTGGGTGTGTATAGTCAAGCTGACCTACCTGTTGTAATTGTTTTACTATACTTCATGAATATTCAAACAGAAATCTCACGTTACCTGTACTCAGAGACGCCACTGTTGTTTCTAAGCTGCTAAATTTCCATGTAATGATAGTGGAGTGCAGTTGTGCACAGAAACGGAGTTCAATAGTCTGGTACTGACATAGGTTTTGGGTCTTTACTGTAATAGTTATTAGGATACAACTCCAGACTGGTTCCGTAAAGACTACATGACACAGACTACATATATACGCAGCAGGTTCCAGAGGGATTTTTTGATGCTACCAGAAAAAAATACCGCACAGCAGCGAGGTGGATACCCACCGCTATAACGTCACCTGGTCGCGTATCATTTCTACTTCCCTGACGTGAGGTGGAATTGGCCAATGACGCACTCCAATTTGCTCATGAATATTTATGAGGTATAGTAAAAAGCCCTGATAGTCAAAGCGCAGCTGTATCAAGTTCTATTAACAGTCACAGCAAGTCAGTTCTGCTTCGTGTACGCAGGGGACTCTGAACTGTTCAAAACAGTCATCTGACTATTACTGTTTGCCTAACCTCAATCATACACCCTCACAGATCCTTCCAAATCCACCTGGCGACTTGAGAAGATTTTTGGGGATTAAGGAAGGTGGAGCCCCTCTATTGTCATTTCATTTAAACCACATTGCCCCTCTACATTTCAGAGTACTAAGATCCTACAGAGATCCTCCGATGAAAGATTTTGAAGAATTCAGGACTGTTTCTACCAAAGTGCCAAGTGAATTGGAGTTAACGGTTTTAAAATTGCATGTACATGTAGGTCACATCTGATGACAAGGAGTAAAATACAAACAGCGCTTTCACAAAACTTTAAGTCATGGTATAACTTCACTTAGGACACACTTTGGTGCACAAGTTACACGACAAAATTATGACACGTTTCACAAAAATGACGGACATTTCAAAATGACGATTAAAATGGCAATAATTCAATGACTGTTGTAAATTTTGGAAAGGAAAAGGTGTCATTAAAGCCCTGATTGTATGACAAGTTCAATATCATAAAAACCGTTGCAAAGCTACGCAACTTTCTGTGAAATCAATTGTACGTATGTTTTGCACCTACAGGTACCTCACACATTGGAGGTGCAAGGCTCATGCGAAGTTTCGCTCAGTTTTGTGAAACTGGCTGCAGCTCTTTTTCTGGCCAAGAAGCTGCTGGATCTTACCGATGTCCACTCCTGCGTTCCCGCTCTTGATCCGCCGCATGATCTGCTCCTTCAGGGCTAGCAGCTGGCTGTGTTTCTTGCCTCGGAACACCCCCGCCACCTCGGTACTCACAGAGGCGTTGATCCCTTCACGACGGTCAGCACCGTCTACGACACGACAAATAAAAAAACCCAAAGATTCTTCCTTTCTGCTACCAATAGGATGTACACCCGCAAACGACCTACTGCAAAGATGTACCAACATTCCCAATCTCGATTGATATTACTGACAGGAAGAAAATTTGGCCTCCTGGTGAGCCGAGATGCTGTTATCTTTTTCTACAACTAACCTTGACCCTCTGGGCTGATCTTTTTGAGTTTAGCCAGCTCATCCTCCGCGATGACCGTCATGTCCTTCCAGAACTCCAGGTTGCTATCCTTCTCTAGTTCCTTGTAAACGATGATGTCCTCAAGAAGGTCCTCCAAGTCAATAATAGTTAGTCCCTGATTGACGGGAGGCGGGGGGGAAGATAATGATAACCTTGGTACTAGACTGCTACACAAATTCTAAAAATAACTGCTATGGGCTAAATATGTCTCCTTCAACTTGCCCGGTGTGGCTAGTCAAGGACACCTACCTGTTTGAAACTGTCATTGAAACATGTACGAATCATTGCTTACTGCCGCGTCTGTATGACTGTACTGAAAAGATTCATATGAGATAATTCCCACATAGCATTTTCAAAGTCCAAATATCAACTTGAAGAGGATAGTTTGTCCCAAACTCACAGCATCAGATTTAGAACTTCAAATGCTACGGATTGAAAAGTACCCAGGGTTAAAAGAGAAAACAGAAATTCCTCGGATTATTTTCACTTTCACATTGTGTTTGGACTTTGCTCCATTCACTACGCACGTACGTACTTGGCAAAACTACCTCCACCAAGTACACTGGTTTGGAAAAATTACTCTTGCTAGACCTAGTCCTGCGTGACAGTAATGCACAAGCAGTATTCCGCAAAAAGGGAGACCGCTGTCGGATCAAAAGCGCCCTTTATAAAGGGGGTGTAACGTACTACCGGCTAGCTTGTACCTACCCTCAGGACATTATAGGGCTCCTGCATCTCTACGGAGAGGTCATCGTCCAGATCAGCGCTGACGTACTGAGCAAGTAAATCAATGGGCTTGGCTGCAATCACACAAACACAGAAATTTCATGTTCCAAAGAGTGCCACAGCTCGTTCAAAACTCGGTAAAACCTACAGGGTGAATAACAGAGTGGGGCAAAGACTGGGCAAGGTTTACGCGTGGCCAAATTTTGTAGCTTTATTACGTCAGAAAAACTCATTTTGTTACCTCTGCCATCCTGGATTCTTATCTTGGACCTCAGCTTTGCTTGATTTAAATGGAACTGGAAAACAACACAGAATTCAACAAGTTCAAGGATATTTTCAAGATGTATTTTTGCGTTGGGGAGATGTTAATTATATATAACAGGTTTGCCCTTACGTATTAATATACGTTGGGTAAGGGCAAACCTGTTATATATTCAAGGATATTGTTTGATTTTCTTCACTTTATCTCATGAATGTCTACGCAGATGCAAAAGCATAACCTTACAACGGGCAGGCAGAGCAGACGGCTTCCATCTCCTCCATATTTCCCAGTTAAAATGAATATGGAGGCCCAGGCGTATGTAAATTATCAAAGGGTTCTTACAACGAATATTTCATACAATCACCTTTCGCATATCTTTATACCCTACTTCAGCGTGTCAAACCTGTTTTGAAATCTTGAAGTTGAGCGTACTGAAAGGTGCGTTTCTTTTAAACACTGAAATTGTTCGTGCTGTTCTGGGCAAGTGAGGGCGCTCTTGCTGTGCGGCAAATCTGGGTAGGCATTGTTCAGTTTACATGTTCTCATGTTCAAATTTTCAACCCCAAATTATTTTACTCTATGAAAACATTTCTGAGAAAAGGTTGCTCGCTGGCAGATTTCCTTCTGATGCTTCCAGACTGGGCTCAAATAGAATCCACATGAAAGGTTTCAAGTGTCCTTCCACCACAATGAATCGGAACTGTCACATTTGTACCGACAATGGGCTTACATGCATCCCAAGATTGAAAAGATCATAAAATGAGTGAGGGCTGAGTTTTGGGAGAGCAGATCCCCTCCCCCTGCCCTTGAATGTGGGACGGTCCAAAATAACCTGGCTCTTTCCAGGTAAGGCCTGGCTTTGGAATCGTGGGCCACCAATAATCTACATTCCTTTCAGAATGCAAACACTTCGGTTGGCTTACACTGTCCTCTTGCTTTTCCCATTCTTTAAACGACTCGGCCTCTCGCATCCTCTGCAACTCCTCCTGTGGGACGAAGACAACGTGAAAGTGGTCAACGCCAATGAAATTTGTAAATCAGTTTGCTGGATATGAAAAAGGACTCCATGGAAATCTGAAAGCCAAATTCCATGACTTTTCCACAATGTACCAGAATAGAACCCAAATATGACAAATTTCCATGACATTTGATATCATATTACACAGAAATATTTGGTAGACTGCTGTAACCACTTCCATATTCTAACAAGGATTGCCAGTAAATCTGTCATTATTCTGTTACAACAAAAGAAAGGCCCCATCCAAAGTAACCCTCACGTGATCTTAACTTGCAAAGCTATAAATAAACGTGACCTTGACAGTCAGTCCCAGGATTCACTTCAGTTTCTTACCAGTTCTTTTTCGCGTTGTTCCCTTTCTTTCTCCCTCTCTATTCTGCGCTGCTTGACTTTTTGCAGTTCAAGCTTAACAATGGAAAATAAAACACACAATTTACCCCCAGATTAGAGGCAAAATGGAATCATGAATATAGAGGTGTAAAAGAGGAGCGTTTGTGTGAGGAAGGCATTCTAATCTGGAGCAAAGGGGTGCATTTGGAGTATTATTGATTGAGACAGAACTAATTTAAAGCACACAAAAAAGAACTTTTTGGAGGTTTTCCTGAATTTAACGGACAATTTCCAGATGACACCTTTTGTTTTCAATTTCCGACAGAATTTTGAAACACTGCATTGCTTTTACATGATTGTCATGGCGAGTTGTAATTAAAGGCACACTGCTGACACGAAGTTGAACATCATTCTGAACACACAGTTGACCTCTGAGGCCAAAAAATTCTGTCAAATTACTGTTTTAAACAGATGAGAGTCCCCCCCAATACGCAAAGCAGAATTGGCTATCTAAGAAAGTTGATACAATTTGTTATAGGGTAGCTGCACTTTGACTGTCCATGACTGATAAGGCAGCTTTGTCCACCAATCACCTGCTTTTACCTGTTGATGGAATTTGACTAGTCAGGGTACCAACCAAAATTACGATCAGACTGTTGTAGACTAGCCTGTGTATAACTGTGTAGCGGGGGAAAGTGAATGGGATGGTTGACTGTCTGTTACTGTCTGTGACTGTCTGTGACTGTCTGTGAACTGTCTGTGACTGTCATGACTGGAGGAGGGGTTTAAAATGCAACCTCCAAATTTTTTAAAGGAATTACGAACTGTCTGCTTACCCTGTTCTCCACCTGTTTACCCTTCATCATTCCTTTCAAGTGTTCATGAGCCAGGCCTCCTAGTCCAGCCGTTTCATTTTTCTGGGAAAAATAAATATCAATTAATTCATTTATTTTCTCGGAAAAATATCAATTATTATCAATTCATTTATTATTACATCAATAAACGTGCGCTTGGCCGGTCATAACCGTTTGCTGTAGGCCGGATCAGGAGAACGGATGCCAATGGCCTGAGCAGATGGCAAGGGAACAGACTCCACAAGTAACAGTTTGACAGCACTGAACAATCTCCCGATGTGGAGATCAGGACGACCGCATGGTGCACTGCGCGAGGTGGTGCACAACATCATGAGCCAGCCAGTGTGGTGTGACTTTGGGATTCCTCCCAAAATGTGCGGTCGTTGGTAATACAGCGTACTTGAGTGAATATCTTGTGAACATTCATGAAGGTAGTTATATTGGAAAAGACACCCGATTTCACAGGAGTCCAATCTTCACATGCCAAGCTGGAAAAGTGTTTATGATCAGCCTGACGGAGGTTCATCACCTGTCTGAGGCAGGCCTTGTGATGGGCTTTTGACCAGTAGGAATGTCTACTTTTAACGACCTCTACCATGTCTACATACATGTACATGTACATAGGACATACATGTGACACAGTGGCAAATGATCCTTGTGTCTATTAGAAAATGGCTGATTCACAGTTACCTTTTTTCCCTAAGTGAAGTTTCTATACTTTCTTTGACAAATCTGGCCATTGTCTTTTCTGAAATGGTGCAGCAGAAACCTTTTTCTTCATTGATAATAAGTTGCCGATTAGGAGAGCTACACAGCGTGAGAGATCCTACCTTGTGCCAGACAAAGGTGTCCAACAGATTGGGATCTCCGAAGGGATTGTCTGCATTGGTGTAACCCTGAGGAAGGAAACGTACATAAACATTATCTTCAGTTAGGATGCATTTAAGACTGACAACCCAAAGCTCTACAAAGGTAATACCAATTTTTTTTTAACGTCACGCTTTTCTTCGATGGCTTCCTGTGCATACTTTGCCTACGTTCGGGTGCCCTAAATAATTCTAGTTGCTTCAAAACTCAAAGGGATTGAAATGGAGTGGCTGCACTTTTTACTGTTGTATCTTTTTAAGCGAGTCAGAAAACTATAAACAAAGACCTTATTGCTTTAAATGCTCACGAACAGTACTACGTTCCGCTTGAATTTTAACCCTGCAGGAAGGCTCTACAGAGGGTTTGCATGGCTGCCATCTTGCAGGCCAGTGCTTTTGTTCTACAGGGTATGCACAAAAGAGGTTTCCCTGTGGGACAAAACATATGCCCGGCAAGATGGCTACAACGCAAAGCCTCTGTTATTTTATGCGAGACGATTTGACTCCTACCATCATTTCCTCATCCCACCCCATCTCTTCCTTGCGCTTGCGGTCCTTGGCGAGCTTCTTGGCCAGCCGCCTGGCTCTCTTCTGCTCCACTGTCTCCGTCAGCTTCAGCAGTTCTTTCTTTTGCCTGAGGGGTAACACAGAGAACGCTTGTTGCTACCTTTCAGTGGCATGTACACATACCGTCGGTGTCCACTTTCATGAGGGCTTTTCTATAAATCTTGGGTCTGAACGTGTGACAGTTTCTGTGTCCCTCTCACTAACACTGACTTCAAACTATATTTATTTTTGGCAGGTAATATGCATTTATACTCAATCACCCTTGAAAATTAAAGAATGGCCTTTACCCTTAGGCTTGATACCGACTCAAAAATGCCGACCACCGGCAGGATTTTTTTTCTCAGAAACGCATAAAAGTGGAAGATAACAAGACAGAAATTTTCTGCCATAATCGGAAAGGTTTGGGGTCTGAGTGTAGTCACTGATGACGCTTTCGCCTGCCGCTTTGGCATGAGTCGCACCCATTTTCCTTACTTGGTCTTAAACGAACATTTAAGGCTGGCAAAGCACAAATTTATTCCCTTAACAACACCTCCCTCTCAGCGTGAATGTCACTGGACCAAGAGGTTTCACGTTAACTGCTTTACTGCTCCAACCTTTTTTCCTCCTTCGTCAGTGGAGCCTGCCTTGGCTCGAATTGCTGTTCCGTCCTTCTGGAATCTTTCCTGTGAGGAGCAGGCGACCCGGAGCGGGAGCGCGACCTCGCCCTTTTCCTATGCTTGTGCCGCTTCTTCGGGCGAGGGGATCTGGACCGAGATCGTGACTCTGATCTTGACCCGTCGCGGGAGCGGCGACGGTGTTGGTGGCGTCTACGGCCATCATCACTACTGTTTTCACTGCTGCTGTATTCAGAGCTCGATCTGAGAGATCAGATTTAAGAACCATGGAGGAAATCACAACAGAGTTTCACAGACAATTTGAACAGTTTGAGCAATCTTCTGAGAAAGGAAAACAGGCTGACAAGCTACGTATTCGGCCTGTGAACATTGTAATTTCTAAGAATTCTGTACATGTCTGTAAGATTATTAAATACAAAGCAGTTTATAATGGACTCCCAGAGTCCACTGCACAATTATTACTGCCGATCTATACAAATGGTAGTCTTACAATCAGCCCCTAGCTTTTTTCAATTGTTCTGTCTTCTTTTGTTTTCTTTCTTTTTTCAATCAGATCACTGTTTACTTTCCGTCAGTGTTGTTTTCTTTTTGGGTAGGCCTACATGTACATTCATACCCCCAGCCTCGCTCAGCTCAGAGGATGCTCAGGGTAGGCCTCATATTCCCTAGAGCAGAATGGATTTTTGTAAGCTTGGGAGTTCTCTGTTTGGGCAGGAGCATCAAGATTCTTACATGTAGACTCAAAAGGCACGTCAACAGCAACCAACCCCCAGTGAATCTTGTAAGAACACTGTACAGTCTGCCAATCCTACAAGGTACATGTATGCCTACATGTACATGTATCTTCAAGGATAACTAAAAGTGGTCTCCCCCACTGTTGAGAGGGTCTCCTAATATGTCAACAAGTGCAATGTAGATCTATAGTAAAGATTGTGGTAACACCATGTTTTTATCTCTTCTTTGAGTATGTGTGGTTCTGAGAAGAACCAGGGAATAACTCGACGTTTCGAACAGTGTACTCTGTCCGTCTTCAGGAGACTGCCTAGGCAGTCTCCGTCTTCAGTCCGTCTCTGTCCGTCTTCAGGAGACTGCCTAGGCAGTCTCCTGAAGACGGACAGAGTACACTAGGCAGTCTCCTGAAGACGGACAGAGTACAC